GAGTACTTCTACTTTTACTGGAACAGAGTATTCCTACACTCTGGTACTTCTACTTTTACTCAAGTACAAGACCTGAGTACTTCTACTTTTACTCAAATACAAGATCTGAGTGCTTCTACTTTTACTCAAGTACAAGATCTGAGTACTTCTACTTTTACTCAAATACAAGATCTGAGTGCTTCTACTTTTACTCAAGCACAAGATCTGAGTACTTCTACTTTTACTCAAGAACAAGATCTGAGTGCTTCTACTTTTACTCAAGTACAAGATATATACTTATACCACCTCCGTTTATAGCCTATGAAAAAAACTATTTGAAAACGAAGGCTAAAGCTAACGTTAGCAGATAGTGACAATGTATGCTAGTTAGCTAGCTCAACGATTCCTTAAATAATATTGCGACAGAAAAACTTTTCAGTTCACATCACGCTCTGCCGCTCCGACAGGGAGCTCTGCTCTGAACACCTGAACGGCCCGTTCTAACAGCTGTTCACCAGCGGTCCAGTCTGTGCCACAGTGACTCCGGACCGCACAGTTAATATTAACGAACGCACCGTAGGTAATGTAGCTGCTGAAGCTAGACCCTCATCCCGGATCAGCAGAGCCTTATTATACATCCATCAGCAGAGCCGACAGGCAGGAAGACTCGAGCACACAGCTCGCGCTTCATTAAAATATATACAAAAAGAACACCATGCGTGTCATGATGGCACATAACAGCTCGCGGCCGCAGATTACTCCGGGTCCCAGACACCCCCCATACCCCACATTTTTTTTTTTTGCAGATCTACATGAATCACACAAACGACCTATTTTGGATTCAAAAGGGCGAATTTCGCAGAAAGGTGACAAGTTTGTATCCTTGAATAATAAAATAAAATCTTAAAAATTAAATTAATTAGTCAGTTTCATTCCTTTCACTAGAACTAATAAGTATTAAACCCCTGTCAAAAGCACTTGACAAGTCATGTTGATTAAGAATATGTGTGTGTCCTAAATGTGAAGGCCAGAGATTCTGAACTACACCGAGTTCACGTAAACACAAATGTAATAAACCCAGCTATTTCAAAAGCACAATTTTAACATAATTAAGGTCACAAAGTCGACATACTTTACTATCCATGACAGTTGTGTGTTCAGTGAAGTTCATTCTCACCTTTGCCTGTTTCCCATCCATGACTGCGACACATGAGTTAGTGGTTCCCAGGTCAATGCCAATGACGGAGCCTTTGACCGCCTCTGACCTGCAACACAGAAGATATACACAGTTGTTATTATCAGTAGGGATGCTCCGATCGATATCGGCCGATATTCACTCTCTGCCGATCGATTGGTGTTCTCTATAAAGGCCGATCAGGAGAGCCGATCACATGGCGTAAAATACACGACACTTTTCTCTGTGCGCGGCTAAACAAGCTCGCCAAAATGGCTTCACCAGTCTGGCAGTATTTTAAGGTGTCCGAAAAAGACAGTAAAATAGCGGTATGCAACGTGTGTGAAGCAGAAAGACTTTACGATCACCACCAATTTATCAACCACATTTTAACAGTACACCAAGATATTATACGTTTTGTGCTGATGTTACTCACGCATAGTCTCTTCTGGACAGAGCTCTGAGAGCATCGGGTTGGAAGCCGCTCCAGGAAGCCTGTTTAGAAACAACAAAACAGATACAAACACATGTTAATTAGAGATAACAAAAAAAGTCCACATCCTTGGTTAAAAACAAGTAGCAGCATTGCATAACAGTAATGAAGTAGAAACAAGTAAGAACATTTAAGTGTGTGTCATGTAATAGTCCTAAAGTAGCAGCCATGATTATCACAATAGTAAATATTAAATATTTTACAACTGCACATGTTAAGTGGTATTGTACAACAGGGTTGTTATAAAATTATGATACTCCTGTCACAAAGAAGTATGCCACAAATGACATGATATTACAATAAATGATGTTTGATTTAGACATTTCTCAGAGTAGCCCGGTAGACCATGAACAACTGTAAGCTTAAGGGATTTAATTCGAACAGGACAGACATGACATAAACCTTTAAATCTGTGGGTGATAAAATGCATAAGGAAGGTGACACTGTGCTCGAAGTCGATTAGCTCATGTACAACATAACAGCCTTTAATATGTTGATAAGCAGACGATCAAAGGCTTCTGAACTTCTGAATTAAACTTAGGAACAGCATGTAACAAATGTTGCACCATGCTAGGGGGTGGGGATGCACTCATTGAAGGTCACATCAATCGTGAGCCATTCTCTTACAACACGCATGCGTAACTTAAATCTAGTAAATTAGATACTAATTCAGTCATTACTTGCATCTAATAAATGACACACATACAGACATAATTTAAACTCTTTGTACAGGTACTGCATACGGTTACATTAGCTCCAAACATCTGGTGTCCTTAATGCATTGTTAGCAAGTATGCACAAACACTTAATACCGTGCTTATTAAAAGGAGAGGAATAACACTGACCACTTCGAGCCAACGTTAGCTAACTAACGCCACATGTGACATATTGGTAGTCACGATTAGGTAAGCTAGCTCCAAGCTAACACATTTAGCACGCTAAGCTAGCCGGCAGATTGTCAAATCGTATACATATACTGGTCACTGATATTAACGAATGTTTAATAACCTAAAATACATTATTTTGCAACCCACCTTCTTCACCAAAGAGGAGACATTTGTTGTGGAGTTCCTTTTCGGGAGAGACCTTGAAACAACTTGGGCGACACTCAACATTTTGACAACTCGGCTAACAGGCTAATGTAAAATAAATGCAAACGTAATAAAACGTCTAGTGTAGAAACGAGCTCCCTGAAATGTTGAAAAGCGAAGAAAAACGAAAAGATGTCTATTCTCCGGGATTCTTTTTCCAGGGGTAGCGGCTTAGAGGGTTCGAGCTCGAGCTAAGGTCCAACACAAGAGCAACTGCGAAGCTTTTTCTAGAATTATCCAACACATGTTGCACCATACACCGCTGAAGGACCCCGAATCGGGCTTCACATCTACTGCCTGAGTGATATTAATGGTTTAAGCAACATTATATAATTCTTTATAACATCTAAGTACACTTTTTATTCTTTATATTATATGCATACGAAATTAGAAAAATGCTTGATATTCAATCGTAGCACATTTCTGCTATTTTTGCCTTTTTTGTGATCAGTAACAGAAAAGGGCACACATACGTAGTGGCCATGTGAAGGTCATGATGTAACCATGGATGTAAATGTACAGAGGGGTGTGCGGGGACACCCGTGTCACATGTGTTGCATCAGTGATGCTGAATGAACTTACGTGTAATGGGTACAATACAATACAATTTGTGTCAGTGGTGTAACACGTTAACGATATACAACTCATTATTATGCATTGGAATATATATTTTTGAGAGGGAGACAATAAGACTTATAGTACAAAACATATGAGGTCTAAACCCAAAAGCAGAGGACAGGACTTCAGGATAATCAGAAGGGGGTTGATTATACATCATATTAGCCTATATTGATTATATAGGCAGGACTTGGAAATAGGATGCGATTTATAAATACGTTGTTTTACAATGATTACTTTGTTTTAGATAACATAACTATGACAGGCCTTCTACACACTCCAATACAGTAGGTGGCAGAATAGAATAATAAGACTTACCTGCGTGTCTCAATTGTTTATCAAGTAGAGCCAGAAGCTTGATTATGATGAATTCGTATCACAAAATAACATACCCTGTTCACTATATCATTGTTTGTTTTATTAACTCCACCAGCAATAGAAATAGGTAATTGAGTTCCTTTTTAAATATATAAACTAATACATGATTAAGGGAATTAATCTAAGGGACATACGCAGGTAGAAAACCTGCTCTGTTGTGTGTTTGGAATACTTTGTATATTTATATAAAGAGTGGGAAAATCATGATTATAAGGGCATTTCAAAAATGTTTAGCTTTAAAAAAGATGCAATGGATTTTTTTGACAATATTGAATAGGTGTTACCTAATTCAGCAGTTGTATAATACAGGTTCAATGTTGACCCTCTTTTGTCATCACACAGCTGTTGACTCGTCTTTTTTAAGGCCATACCTCAGACTTTCTGTTTTTTTAAAACAGAAAATAGAATACCTGAGACTTTGAAAGCAGACAGGGTCAATTTCCCTTATCAGTGCAATATGTGTTGTGTTAGCACTATAGCCATCTTCCAACTAAGTCCTAATTTTGAGGCAGAGATTGAGAGGGAGAAGAGTAGAGAGGGGCTCAGTGCAAGTCCCTGGGCACCCTGAGCTTATGTTCAATGGTTAGGGTTAAGGCTAGGGCCAGCGTGTATAACTCATGTTCTGCTCAAATGCATGGGTGTTGCCATGTATCAATTTCAAAGGTAGGCTATAGCTGAAATAAGGCTTTGTTGTATGCAACGCGGCCTGTCTGTCAACATCTAGTCCACATTTAGAGATGCTTATTTTCTGAGACACATGTGATAAGTAAGATAGGAAGTTCATTTTGCATTAAAATATGTTTACACTACCTTTTTATTAAAAAAGACATGAAAAACGAATGAAACAGACATGGTATTACTCTGGTCTACCCATACTATGGTTCTATGGTCTACTATGGCTCTACCTCGGGTTGAGATCAAAGACTGTATAAAGGTTGAGTCAATCTTTAAGGCCCTGATTCCTCCACTTAATTATTCCATGTAACCAGCAGATGTCGCTCTTGTTATATTCTATTTTAAACCGTCTATGCAAGAGTATCCCACTGCATTCTGCCTGGCAGGGAGTTAGCTATGTATAATGCTTATTTTTGTATACAAACCTTATACAGCCAGTCTATAATATGAACCTTTTCCTACAGATTTAATTTCTAGAATCACCTACATTTTCGGTGTATTAGTTTCTTGTAGGAAGTTTGACTTTACTGTATTTACAATGGGTCAGTGAATGCTCCAAATCTTCCTCTCGCGAGAAATCTCTACGTTGAACATGTAGCCTACGTGGCTTCACAGCTGAGGGCTGGCAGGGTTTGTTTACAGAGAGGTGAATGTACTGTTTGTAGATTGAAAACCTGAACGTGGAGTACATGCTGTGTATTCTTTAAATTGAGCTGTTCTCGAGAAAGCCTTTTATTGACCGGCGACACAGCAGCATCAGCGGGAGCGGGGCTGTGACGTTTACTTCCTGCTGCAGCTGCTGTAAACAAGCTTTCTGCCGACTCTCCGGCCTGCTGGACTGATATGGCGGAGAGCGGGTCGTCGGTTGAATTTTCCGGCTCTCTGACGAGCTCGAATCTTCCGCCGCCGAGGACCCGTATCTTCAAAATCATCGTGATCGGAGACTCGGGTGTCGGGAAAACCTGCCTCACGTACCGCTTCTGTGCCGGCAAGTTCCCCGAGAAGACCGAGGCCACGATCGGGGTGGACTTCAGGGAGAGGCTGGTGGAGATTGACGGAGAGAAAATCAAGGTGTGCCTGCAGACACGGGACCCTGTTAAAAAAAAAAAAAAAAACCTAAACGGACCAGATGCAGACCATCACTCTGGGTGTCTGTTGATGTGGAGATTATAGTACATCTCATCAAATATGTAGCTTAAGTATACAGGGAGAGCAGAAACTATCCATAACAATTTGAGTAAGAGGTTATCAGCCGGTAGATATGTCAGTTATTTTTGGTCTAACTATAGGAATATAGTGTTATATAAATCATTATTTTCTCAGGAGAACATTGGATACAACGTAATTGATCCAGTGCTCCCATGCTGGAGATTGTCCTGATTTCCAGGTTTTAAGTACTGGATATTGTTGCTGCAGTGCTTGCAAGCATTATAAAGACTTCTCATGGTTAGTGAGAGGACATCCTCCAGTATCCAAACTGAAAACTCAAGGGGAAAACAGCAGTAATGCCACTCACTGGTTGCATTGACTAACTAACAAAGACACAGCGGACACACAGGGCCTTTCCCAAAGCCGGATTAATAACTCCAGGGGCCCCTGGGCACTGAGAGCTCAGGGCCCCTCAACACGTAACAACACGCCTACCGAACATGACCAATATTTTCATTCAATCGCACACCTATTTGTCAAAAGCAGGGACGCAGCTACATAGTTCAACCAAAGTAGATCTAGCCTTTTGCCCTTTCAGTCAAACATCACAAGACAAGGATACAATGGATAAGAGCTCAAGAAGACCTAGGTAATATCACTCAAAACCTCAGAGCCGCACCCCACTTCAAATGCCAAAATATGACTGTCTGGCTGTATAAATCCACGGAGTTCTATTTTCCAACCTTGAGAGTTACAAAAGTAAAACATGTATTGAAAGTATGTGGTTGCTCAACTAAGTGAGAGAGAGAGAGAGAGAGAGAGAGAGAGAGGAAGAGAGGAGAGAGAGAGAAGGATAGAGAGAGATAGAGCAGTAGTAGAGAGAGAGAGAGAGAGAAGATAGACGAGAGAGAGAGTAGAGATCTAGAGCAGAGAGAGGAGAGAGCGAGCGAGCTCTATCTCTTCTCCGATCGAGCTCTAGCGACGGCTCTCATCCGTAGCTCGATCGCGCTAGCTCTCTACTAAATCTATCTCGAGCTGCGCTCGCAGCTGATCCTCGCTCGCGTAGCTATCTCGCCTGAGAGAGAGAGAGAGAGAGAGAGAGAGAATGTGTGTTTGTAAGACAATCCCTCAAATCAATGGATCTTACCTTTTAGAAGTGTTTCTTCCTTGCCCTTTTCTTTGCAAAGTCTTGTAAGTTCATCAAAATCCTAACATTGCTCGCTAGCTCAACAACATCCTCAGGCTCTGTGACCGTCACTGTTCCTTGTGGTTGCTGGCCTAATTCATCACGTTTAGCTTTTTTGAAAAAGCTATTTATTGTTGGGAAATGTTTTTAATGCAGCCGCCACTCTCTCTTCCTTTTCTTTCTTTTTCTTTCTTTCCGCTGCCCCGCTGGGCGTTCGGCTGCTACCGGCACCATCCCTTTAGCTCACGTGACACAATGTCAGTGTGACATGAGTGAAGGTGGGGTTGTGATTCGGCTATAGACTGCTGCCGCGTAGTAATAAAGTTGAGCGCATACATAGTGAGACGTACGGCACAGAGACGGTTTAGAAAATATATTAATTTGACCCTCTAGAAAATCTGAGTTATTTATTGCGGCGGAGAGTGAGTTTCATTTAAAACAATGTATGATGAGTGAGGTAGTGCCAACAAATACAAATAAGATGTTTTTCTCTTCTCACTGAGGGCCCTCTCTTGCTCAAGGGCCCCTGGGCACGTGCCCATTGTGCCCATATGGTTAATCCGGCCTTGACCTTTCCTATTTCCCAGTTTGGACATTCATGGGTCCTCTCCTTGTGTCTTAGTCCGCACAAGAGAGATGTGAGCCTATGAAGCGAGGAAGAGACTCGAGGAGAGAGGAGTCTAGAAAACATCCTCTCCTGCATCTACCCACACCTACAGCCCTACACTCACCTACAGCCCTACACACACCTACAGCCCTACACTCACCTACAGCCCTACACTCACCTACAGCCCTACACACACTTACAGCCCTACACTCACCTACAGCCCTACACACACCTACAGCCCTACACACACTTACAGCCCTACACTCACCTACAGCCCTACACTCACCTACAGCCCTACACTCACCTACAGCCCTACACACACCTACAGCCCTACACACACTTACAGCCCTACACTCACCTACAGCCCTACACACACCTACAGCCCTACACACACCTACAGCCCTACACTCACCTACAGCCCTACACACACTTACAGCCCTACACTCACCTACAGCCCTACACACACTTACAGCCCTACACTCACCTACAGCCCTACACACACCTACAGCCCTACACACACTTACAGCCCTACACTCACCTACAGCCCTACACACACTTACAGCCCCGACACACACATCTGGACCCCCGCTACATATCCACAGCCCCTACACACACGGAGGCTTGTAAACATGTCAAGTCTGACAATAATGCGGCTTTCACACCAGCGCTTTTCCCTTTCTAGCTCCTAGCGAGAGCTTTTCTGGTTCAGCTCCGGTTTCCCTTTTCAGCTCCCGCTCTGTTCACACCGCCCAGCTGCCGCTGCTGCGTCATGACGTCACCGTTTACATCGCTGATTTTCTCCCCAACGGAGCTCACAACAACAACAACAACGGGGGGGGACTGCGTCGGGTCGATGATCGTGTTGCTTTTAATCATACAAAGCCAGATTAAATTAAATAACGACTTCTCCAACCTTATACTTTCCTCCAGAGTGCCGTGGTTCATTGTTTATTAATGTGTTTCAGCATTTACCGACCGCTGCAGTGCTGGCTGCTCTTCCACCGGAGTTTATTCTCCCGTTAGCTCCGGGTTAGCTCACACGGCTCTAAAGTATTCACTGTCTGACTGTCACACAAGCAGCTGATACATATCCCCAGTTCCCCTTAAGTGAATGTGTGTCAGTCTGAATTGACGCTGTTTGGCATCACAACGCTGTTATGAAAGTTTCTCTGGTATAACATGGGTGATGTTAGCATAGCAACCAAAGCTAAACTGAGTACTTGCTAAGCCGTTTTCTACAGGCACATTTTACCGGCGTATTTTTCATTATGATTCTACTTGTGATAGTCGGACATGACAACCTGTGCAGCCCATGTATTGATTCCATCCGATAGCTTCTATAATAACAAACAAAACGTCTGCCTGCTCTCCACAATGATCAATAACAGCGAACGGATGGTCAAAGTAAGGTACAAATAACCAGAATCACACGAAGCCTGGTTAGTGTTGCCTGACTTTATAAAGTGTGTTTTTTTTTATAAGTGTGTGGTTGCCTTCTAGTCACTTTGCTCAGCGCTACTTCTTGTAGGCAGGCATGACGAGACTCTTCAGTCGACCCATGTTCAGGGGAGGTGGGTTTAGTTTCCTGCACGCCTCGACGTAAGAGAGACGTAAGCGACGCCGCGTCATACCTCCGAAGCTCTTGCCTCTAGACCGACAATTTTTTGGAGCTGGAAGTGAATCGCATTCCGGAGCTATGACGCGGCGCCGCTGCGGTGTGAACAGGAAAAACCGGCGCTTTTCCAGCTCCAGCTCCGAGCCGGAGCTGGAGCTGGAAAAGCGCCGGTGTGAAAGGGGCATAAGATGGAGAAGGGTTCTCTGTTAGTCCAGACCCTGCCGGCCCTGTCCATGGTGCTGAATCAGCTTTTTATTTTCTTTGTGTGAAGTTTCCTAAATGATTGAACAGATGCAACAGTGTGGCTCAATTACGTGTTTTCAATAGTTTCTGGACAACAATGGAGCTCTGTGGCACTCTGTTCTTATTGGAATTCATTTCATTCGTGATTCGGGTGCTATTAGGATTTGATTAATTTCCAAACTGTCCCCCTGCAGATCCAGCTATGGGACACTGCGGGTCAGGAGCGCTTCAGGAAGTCCATGGTGCAGCACTACTACCGCAACGTGCACGCCGTGGTCTTCGTTTACGATGTCACCAACGGCACCAGCTTCCGCAGCCTGCCGGCCTGGATAGAGGAGTGTAAGCAGCACGCTCTGGGCACGGAGGTACCCAGGATTCTTGTGGGGAACAAGTGTGACCTCCAAGACTCGGTCCAGGTGGGTACAGACGTGGCGCAGCAGTTTGCAGACACCCACTCCATGCCCCTGTTCGAGACGTCCGCGAAAAACCCAAACAGCCAGGGAGACAGAGGAAACAGTGACCATGTGGAGGCTATTTTTCTGACGGTGGCACACAAGCTCAAGTCTCAGAAGCCCCTGGTACTGAGCCAGCCCCCTGTGGGGTCAGGGGGCACCATCAACCTGAGCAAGGGGGGGACAGAGGGGACAGAGGGAGTGAGGAGCTGGGGTTGCAGCGGCGGATGCTGAGGGAGGGAGAGAGAGGGAGAACTTCAGGGCTGCACTACACCATGAAGCTTGCATCGAGTCGAGGTCTATAAAGGGAGAATGGATGCTGCACAATCAGAACACACACACACACCTCATATAGAAGAGGATCATTTATTTGCATGCCTGTGAGTTACTTTATACATGCTTTTCAGTGTTTACAGATTGATTGTGTTTGAATGCCAAAATCTATCGTGTTCATTGGAGTGATCCTGAACAAGCAGCCAAAAGCCTAACCCCTTTCCCCCATTCTGCGTTGATCTTCAAAACACAAGCAGCCACATCTAGCAGTAGGTTCCAATTCCCTCCATTTGAGATACAGAGTGGAAATATATTAGGGCTGTCAATTAATCAATTTTTAACCTGTTCAAAGTTTTCACATTTTTGGCAAGAATTAACAGTGACATCCCTAATTAAAAAAATTCACAGCTTGTTATTTTGTAGGGATGTGAAGTGTGTAATCATATTTCAAAATGAAATCAATGTCATGCTTTGGAGTAACAGAAATTGCACTGCCAATGAACACTAAGTTAGAAAATGCAACACTTGCCCAATTTCACATGATGGAAATAAAACATGTCCAGTATTCTATCCGAATACTGATAATGACTTCTCTCTACATTCCAATAATCTTCTGTTTGCATATTTATGGATAGTCAAAGCACGATCTCAACCCTGTTGATTATTACGCCGGTGTATTATAAGATTCTATACGTTAAGGTGTGATTGGGCTATGTCGTTATTGAGAGAGCTGTAACTGACTACTGCTAGCCCTGGTGGCTACAGTGTTAGCTCCATAGCTAGTCATGGTCATTGTAACAGTTAAGGTGAATCCTTAAAATCCTATCTGTATAACAGGGAGGAGGAAGTGTCACCACAAATTGTCTGAAAGAGTCATGAAAAGGGAACCTGTTAAGATAATGGAAATGAAATCAAGAGAATGTGATGATTTGCCTGTTCCCTGTTGTTTATGAATGCTATGAAAGAGAGTGGTGCAGGAATGACTCCAAAAACCTGGAAATGAGTTAGCATTTTAGCAGTTCCAGTTGCCTCAACCCAAAGATAACGATTTTAACGTGTTTGTGGTTAGAAGCCTGAAATGAGGTCTGTGGTTAACACAAGCTTAAGAGATATTCACATTTTGTTCTACGCCATAAAATACGTCGGTAAATACCCCAATGGTGATGTTTTGAAGCTTCTATGTGTCTTAAAGGTCCCATGACATGGCCATTTCTACTGATCATAATTCCATTGTTGAGGTATACTAGAATAGATTCACATTGTTCAATGTTCCAAACTCACATTGGTTTCTCATACAGCATCTCTGTATAGTATGTGTATTCACTCTCTGTCCTAAACGGCTTGTTGGAGCTCCTGCCCCCCCCCCCCCCCTGTGAGCCCAGTGTGCTCTGATTGGTCAGCTCGCTGCTGCGAGGAGCTGACAGTGTGAGCTGGCTTACTGGTGTGGTTTCCTGCTTGCTGCGAGACAGCGCGAATGGACGCGGGAAGGGGGGGGGGGGAGTGCTGAGGGGGCTGCAGCAGCCCCATCTGCGAGGCTCCACTAGCACCCGCACCCCCAAACGCGGCGCACCTACAGTGTAGTGTAAGCGCGCCACAGTTTCACACTATCACCCCCCCCCAGAAGAAAAATAGAAATCTCCAACGAGGCGTTCTGGGGCAGCATAGACAGGTCTTTTCTGTGTTAGAGTTTTACTCGCTACAGGGTGTACTTTGAGGGTTTGTGACTCTGCAGACGTAATCACTCCAAATATTAGCCACCTTTAGCTTAGCGGTGGTGATGCGCATTCATGACACAATGTAGTTTTTTAGGCCTAGCATTAGCTTTTTACTTCTAGCTATTTCAAATACGCTTAAAAATATGGGATAATCCTGCTGAACAAAACGTGTTGTAAAAGTGTGTTTGCCAAATATCAGATTTTCAAAAATATTCCAAAATCCAATCGAATAATCCCATTGCTTTTTGCGAAGGAGCCCTTGCTTACTTCCAGATGGGCCTATAAAAATACATCATCACTGCACCACTGTTTATCTAGATTATCAAACAAGACTAAAGTACAGTGTAGGCTAGCTAGTGAATCAAACATACCTCTTACAGTGTAAAAGAAGCCTACACCCACTATGGCTCCCGTATGTTAGCTTGTGATACAATATTCAGCTTTGTATGATACACGCAGACACCATTGAATCCTTCACAAGCCAAGATGCACCACAAGTTGGGCTCCATGTCATGATTGTTTGGATGTATGTTGTGGCCCCAGCTGGTCCTGTGGCCCCGCTTCTGATCACGCAGTCACATGACCTCTCAGGACTCTCAACGACCCTATCTGCGGTGGAGGACATCACGTGGGTCTTTTTCTTAGCTTCGGGTGCTGCTTCTGTTCTTCAAGTGACCTTTGTTTTATGAATGCTATCATTTCATTTGCCTTCTCTTCACTGCAGCCATCAACAACAAATACTGTATTTCTCATTGCAAATGTCCAGGAAGAAGAACATCAATGACAGAATGCTATGTGCACACTGTGAGTAATGAATTCATCTACCCAGGACAGGTAGTTGCAATGGTGTTAACGTGTGTAACCCTGCAATAAACTACCCTGAACATTTCAAAATGTGGTCATGTGTTCATTAGGGTTTTATTTATTAAATACACATAAAAAAGAATTGATACATTGAGAAGATATCTCACTTTCACACAGCACACAGGGAATTAGGCGTTTCAGGCTGGACATTTTATATATACAGATATTCAACTTGGCAAGATTCAATGAGTTTGGCTCCAGAAATGTTTAGTCAAAAAGGAAATAAAGTCTGTGCCACAGTCTAAAGTGTGTAGTCTAATCAGGGGTTTACAACATTCCAATATGACATCTTCAGTTGAGTCTTTAAATTCCCATAATCCACAAATAATAATTGTGAAGCTACATTTTAAAAACATATATACCATAACCAGCCCCTCCTCTCTGAGATGGAGACACACAGGACCAGGCTATGTAGTGTGGGGGTGTCAGGTCAGTCTGCTGTAAGGAGGCACTTTGGAGGGCCCCTCCTCATCCTCTGCTGGGCCCCGATCAGGGACCGGAGCAGGAGAGTTGAACAGCCTGTCGTCTGCCCCTGCTGGATAGAAGAACACCATCACTCACTGCTGAGAGCAGAGGGTTCCTTTAAAGAGGCCCTATTCTGCTTTTTGGGGTTTCCCTTTTTTTTTTTTCATGCCTCCATTGGACTCTTGTTTACTTCAGTAACATAATGACATCACTGGCCAGCGCTCCAACACATTGTACGTGATTGGCTTTTGGGCAGGACATCTCTAAGCAGTTGACCAATCACAACAGAGCCGGCCAGCTAACCAATCAGAGCAGACTGGGCTCTGGTTTCAGACAGAGGGTGAAAAGAGGGGCTGCAGCACAGGCAGTATGAGAAACATAAAAGGGCTTTTTGAACAATAAAGCATGGAGACATGTCCCAGTAGAGACACTACATACTGATATGAACCTGGAATTAGCAGAACAGGGCCCCTTTAAAAACAACATTCATTAATAGTTCTTACCTTGCCATCTACAAGCCATCTCTGTGTCCCCAGGGTCACACTGAGGAACCAGCGTCTCCTGCAAGAAAGACAGACAGACTGACTTTTAATTGTAGGGGGGAAAAAGCCTTTTTTTCTGAGAATGGAAAGTGAAAGTGATACATTAAAAGGCATCCAAATGGGATTTCTTATCTGACAGCAATATAAATTGGTGCAGGCAGGCATACAGTATTTGTCTAGGCAGAACTGGAAGGTTTTTTTAGAAATATATACGCAAAACAGTGACTAGTTTTTAGCTTGTTCAACCAATTCAGGGGGTTAATTTTTGCTTTATTAGCTAACTAGCTACAGCTGAAACAAGCTGCCAGCAACTGTTTACATTTTAGACGATATAATGGACAATTTCAGGCTAGAACTGAGAAGCTGCTCTGGTCTATCTCCGTCTGAAACCAAGGATGTTTGGAGATAAATGTGCCACCATGGTCAATGGAAACAGCGTAAGTATTGTGAGATCAGAAATCTTGCAAAGCAACAGTTACTCCGTTTAAAGGGATGTGTGATGACTGTTCTTCCTACCAGTCCGGTTCTGGCATCATAGCAGCGGCAGCCTGGAAGACTCCGGCATCCCACATAGGCGATGAGAGCGGAGAGAGCCATGCTGATGGTGCAGGTCAGCAGGATGGTGGCGTTCGCCCCCTTCACCATCCGATGAAGCACAAACGTCTGAGTGGAGACATAGTGTAAACATCTTGTAGGTACACTGTCTAATGGCTCTGACACACCGAGCCGAGGGCCGATATCGGACGTTGGCATAGTTTGAGTGGTCGATACGTTTCTGTCGGCCATGTTTTTTTTAGATGGGACACACATTATTTGCTAATCCCAATTTCTTTCACCCCGATTCAGCCTGTTTAATCTGCTAAATAAACCACTCTTTAGAATGGATATGATATTTGGCAGTAGGGGTGCATTCACGTTCAACTTTTTGGACAACAGTCAGCCACGTCGCAACTAGTTATTTTATGTTGGTTCGGAGTGTCAGGGCCTTTTGGTCACACAAATATTTGAACACACACTTTACCAAACACTGGGATCACCCAAAGGATATATTTTGTGGTAGTGTGCATGCATGTATGTATGTGTGTGTTAACATGCCTTACCACTTTGGGACTGTCGTGGTGGTGGAAGACCACCTTATCCTCCTCCCCGTAGGTGAGTGTCAGACACGAGTAGCCTGATATAAAAGCTGCCGCCACACAGGAGAGGCCGGCTGCTGCCACCATCACACTCACCTGCAGGGACAAGATCACAGAGTGCGCGCTTTTCTTTTTCATACTGAGAGGGTTGAGTCAGTGTACAATAGAGCTAGACAGATAAACCAGCCCAATTTATATATCTGCCAATATTAGCTTGTTGTAAATATATCGATGCTGTTGTACATGCTGGACGATAACTAACAAGAACGGCAGGAGAGAATGGTAAATAGGCTCTACGTTTTAGTCGTTTAGAAAGACATTTTAAAAGTTGGCCCACTAAACAGCACTGGCAATCTATCTAGATCAGTGTTTCTCAAACTTTTTCATACCAAGGACCACTTAACCAATAAAAAAACACTCGCGGACCACCTAACTCCACAAATATCCAAAAACACATCGTTTTTCTAGAACAGATTACAAATCGCCTGAAAGTGGTACAAACAAGTGGCAACATGTGTGACGAAGGTGTTGCGCTGGGAAACTTAAACTCGCTCCATTGCGGAGATATTCCCGCGAGAGTGCGGAAAATGTAAATGTATTTATTTATTTAAAATGTGAGATTTTACCAATACTCACACTTTGAGAAGCACTGATCTAGATCAATACATCCATTCAATGATCTACCCTGCTACACAACCAAGATAGCTCAAGATGATGAATATAGTAACCAGGTTAGCCTTCATGTTAGCAACAACAGAGCGCATGCTTACTTTAGGTGGACCAGCTATTCTCATACAACACAAGGTCTAGTCTAGATAATGTACTTTTAATGTATGGAAGAGCACAGTAAATAAATAACAAAACTTATTTTCGGGA